GTCCGGGATTGGTGCTAGTAGGTTGCTAGAAGTGTTGATTACTCCTTGTAGTTGATGCTGGTTGGTTTATTTGGTGGAAGATCATATGTTCAGATCCTTTATGCACAATATTACCCCTCTGATTATGAACATGAATATGCTTTGTGAGTAGTTACGTTTGTTCCTGAGGACAAGGGAGAAGTCTTGCTATTAGTAGTCATGTGAATTTGGTATTCGTTCGATATCTTGATGAGATGTATGTTGCCTAACCTCTAGTGGTGTTATGTGAACGACGACTACATAACACTTCACCATCATTTGGGCCTAGAGGAAGGCATTGGGAAGTAATAAGTAGATGATGGGTTGCTAGAGCGACAGAAGCTTAAACCCTAGTTTATGCGTTGCTTCGTAAGGGGCTGATTTGGATCCATATGTTTCATGCTATGGTTAGGTTTACCTTAATAATTTTGTTGTAGTTGCGGATGCTTGCAATAGAGGTTAATCATAAGTGGGATGCTTGTCCAAGTAAGGGCAGTACCCAAGCACCGGTCCACCCACATATCAATTATCAAAGTACCGAACGCGAATCATATGAGCGTGATGAAAACTAGCTTGACGATATTCCCATGTGTCCTCGGGAGCGCTTTTCCTATTATAAGAGTTTGTCCAGGCTTGTCCTTTGCTACAAAAAGGATTGGGCCACCTTGCTGCACTTTATTTACTTTTGTTACTTGTTGCTCGTTACAATTTACTCTATCACAAAACTATGTGTTACCACTTATTTCAGTACTTGCAGAGAATACCTTGCTGAAAACCGCTTATCATTTCCTTCTGCTCCTCGTTGGGTTCGACACTCTTACTTATCGAAAGGACTACGATAGATCCCCTATACTTGTGGGTCATCAAGGACCAGCTAGGTTTTGGGACCAAGAAATCCTTTGGTACATCATGAATGCCTTCATGATCTTGCACAACATGATCATTGAGCATGAGTGTGACCTGGCTTACTCCTACTATGACTTCATGGAAAGGGTGGTGCATCCGCGTAGGAGGGAATGCCGCATGACACTTTCTTCAAGTACACCAAGAAATTCGAGCTGTGGATACTCATTAAAGTCCGCAACAAGATCACAATGAGAAGTGGTGGACATTGGAATGAGCAGCAAGATAACTAGTTCTACTACTATGTTGTGTGTATGTCTGATGTACTTTGTGTTATGTTTGAAGAACAATTGTGATGAATTTGGGGTTGTGATTGATGAACTATATAATGTACTATTTGTTTTATTATTTGACATGAGTTTCATATTATTTAGAGCATTGCATATGCACAAATTACGTGAGGTAGAAGTAGAAGCTGAAATTTAGATATCAATTTTTTTATTCCTAAAACCTTCAGTCCACATATAAAACTGGTTTTAGGTAGGTTCTTAGGGCAACTCTAGCATATTTGCCATATGGGAGATCACCGTATGGGTTATGGAGCATGCCAATATTGATATGCAGGCTGCGACGGTTGCGCGCAAACAGAGAGTCACCATATGGCGAGCTCCACACCTTTTCATTTATTTGATCCTTTTTGTTATTTTCTTCAGAAATGCAGAGGCAAATTAAGTTGAACCAAATGCAAGTTCCAACATGATAAATTGCTAGAAACTATAACAAAAACTATAAAAAGTGTCAAAATCCGTCGCATTTCCATACCATAAAACTATAATAGAGTCTAAGATTCATCGCATCCTATATACCTAAGAAAGTCACCCCACTAACTTATTTGTCTCAACATTCAAGCATGCCATGCAATTATGGATGGGATAAGCCTCAACATAGAACCATGCATGGGAAAAGACCCACCAACACATGCAATCATGCGTGGATTTTTTCCATTATATTATCATACTTCTATTTAATAAATGTTTTAATATACACAGTCAGATATAATAAGTCGTATGTATTTTAAAATTTTAGTAATCATGTTATTAATGTAAATATTTAACTTTGCACAATCAAATCTCATCAAAATATACTGCAACTAATTGCCGCAGCAACGCGCGGGGTATCTTCTACTTACTATAATTAGCAATTACAAATGTTGTATAACATGTTTCATCCTATACTATCTACACTACTAGGCGGTCGACAACTACACTACTAGGTGGCCGACACCGTCTAGTCGTCACCCTCCTCCTCCTCCTCCTCCTTGTCATTGCCATCATCGTTGTCCTCCTCTGTCGAGGAGATATCCTCCGTCTAGGTGTAGTGGGTTAGACTCATGAATGACTATCACGAGCTGTCGCACGTTCTCCTCGTTGGTGCATGCGGAGCTGTACTTGTGGATGATTCAAGCCTCATTGCAAGCTTGGATGTTGGTGAGCTCCATCACCACATGGATCGGGCCTGAGAGTCCGCCTCCGGCTCTGGTTGGGCTACGATGAGGACAATGTGGTTGACCCGGACGAGGTGGCTGGCAGGGTTGGTGTCCCCAGCTCCTCCTTCACCCAGATGAGGGATGTGCCTCCCACGCACCCTCTAGATCCGCCGCCGCCGCAAGAGGAGGAGCCAACGGTTGCCATGGCTAGTGTGGCGCGGGGAGAGTTTACCCTGTGGTTGCGCAGAGTCTGCGACGGGACATTCTGCTCAGCCGATGCATTCAACTAGTCAGCTAAGCTCCGACATAGTCGTGTTGTTTTTGAGGAGGAGATGGGAGGGGAGGTGGTGGCAAGGAGGAGATGGGAGCAGGGGCGAGGAGTAAATGGCCGGGCTCTTATAGCCGGGGTGAAGGTCATCTGAACAGTCACCTTGGGAACCGGGAAGTGGTAGCCCCAGTTAATGGTTTGGTGGTTACCGGTCACATCGCCCCACTAGCCGGTGATAAATCAGCACACGTACATGTGTGTACGGGATGCGCCTCGCTTCAAAAACCGATCATGACACTCCATATTGGCTTCCCTAGCCTCTAAATATGAAGGCTACAGAGTCGTTTAGGAGGGACCATCATAATTTATGCCGATCGATATCCATATGACGACTGTTTTAGATTGACATTTGAACCTAAAATCATTGAATCGATAGTTATTACGTGACTTGCCAGAGTTGCTCTTAGTCTGTTTTTGGCATTCTTTTTCATTCTTAGAGCATCTTCAATAGAAGATGCAAATTTGGAGGTGTAAAATAGGAGATGCAAAAAATTTACATCTTCAAAAGATGCTTTTTACATCTCCAAAAAAGAGACAACTCCAACAGATGATGTATATTGGAGATGTAAAACAATAACAACTCCAATAGAAGATTCAAATGAAGATGTAAAACGATACTTCAACTTCAACTAATACTTCATCTGAAACATATAAATTCAAACATAGAAAATTCAATTACTACTTCATTTCAAACATAACAATTAAACATAGTTCTAATTAAAAACATAAATTAAACGACTACTTCAACTAATTCGAATTACTTCATTCATCAAGTTACTACTATTACTAGTTTGAACTACTACTTGAATTACACCGAAGATAAAACTACTCATCATCATCGGAGCACTTGAACTGCTCCCAGAACTCATCTTTGTCTGGGTCATCGCGCCCCTCATCCTCCTCCCCTGAGTCACCCCAGTCCTTCTCCGAGAACTCGACGGGGATCATCGTCGAGGGGTCGGCCTAGTTCACCTCCTCCTCCTCCTCCTCCTCCTCCTCCTCCTCCTCCTTCTCCTTCTCCTCTTCCAGAAGTACTCCTGCTCGTCCAAAACATACTCCAGATTCTCCCACGCGAACCTCACCATCGCCCCTCCATCACTATCCTGGGACCAACGACAATGGTCAACCTCTTCTTCGCCTTCTTCCGAATGCCCTGCGGCACAAGCATCTCCGTATCCGCCCGGGTCCCGATCTCAGGGAAGTTAAGGTCCGTCTTGGGCCATTCGGCACGCCACACCGCCACGTCGTAGGCACGTGCGGCCTCATCGACGGCGGGGAAGGTGCCGAGCTAGAAGCAGCGGTCGGCATCGAAGAACTCCACGCTGAAGTGGTCGGATGGCTTCGCCCACACGCTGAAGAACCCTGTCTTGCTCTTCGGGAGCTTCTTCGACAGCATGTCGTGTGCCGAGCCGGCGGCGGTGGTCGTTGCGGTGGTGCGGGGCCGCGGGTGGCGGCGGTCGATGC